GTCCTCTGACTTGCAAAGCAAGCGCTCTTACCCACTAAGTCAGCTCCCCAGCTCTACATCTCATTATTGCCTGTCTGTTAAATTGGCCTATTAAGGACAGGTGACTGAGCCTTGCTCACTAGGGCTGCCAGCGCATAGACTGACCTCGACAACCCCCATAGCGTTTTGACTCCATCTCTGTGGATGACACCCAGGGCCTGACTGTTACAAGCCTTCTCAGGGTCTAGGTCCTAGGCCTGCCTGTTTCCACCTGGGCCTCTGACGTTGTCAGGGACAGAGCGGTAGCCATCCTGCCCACCCTGCATCACGGCTCAGCGGGAAGGAGGGCCAGCTGTATCCCATATGTGTCTGCAAAGTGCTGTGTGCTCCCTGAGTCACGGGACCAGACATTCCATTAGAATCATCGCTGGCTTCGGGCATCTCTGAGCAGAGCCAGCTGGTGCGGCATCTACAGCCACCTGTTTCTAGGTGCATCTGGCCCAGTTTTGGCAGCACTAAGAGGAGACTGCTGCCAGAGCCCCAGGGCCTGTTGCTGAGGGAGAAAAAGGCCTCTTATAGCTTTGTTTTTTCGCCCTAGTGACACCGTCTGACTCCTAGACACTCAGGGATGGTTTGTCAGTTTTCTCTACAAAAGCGTGTCTTTCTCTGTCCTTCAGCACAAGGTAGGAATTCAGGAACAGGCTGTTTGAGGCCAGGAAACTCAGCTTCCCACGCTGGGCAAGTTGACATCTGCCTCTGAGGGCAGAGCCCTTCTACTTCTGGGACCGCCCTACTTAAGTCTGTTGCTAGCTTTAGCAGCCTCAAAAGACAGGCTGAGCCACCATCCTCAGCTGCCAATGACAGAGGCAAGTCCTAGAAAAATGCATCTAAAGGAGATTTAATCACCATGGACACATTCAAAGAGGAACAAATAAAGAGATCCAGTGACCAGGCCCATCTCTGAAATACTGAGGGTAAGAACTAGGCAGTCCTAGTCCAGGTGTGGGCCAGCTCATCACCGATCCATCATTGTCTCAGCCCCGGTCTCTTCCAAGGTGGTCTGACCATCTGACAATCTGTCAGAACTGTGTGAAACCTGAAATCTGTCAAGAGAAAAGCTCCCCCTCCGGCTGGCACTGGACTTCAACCTTCTCCTCCACTGGGCATCAGATTCTTGGGGGGAAATTCCAGTTTCTTGGCGTCCATGATTTCAGTAGTTGGTAGACAAGAAGAGGGCACAAGTGTCTCTGGAATATCCGCGTTCCTGCTGGCACCAGTAAAGAAACCCTTTGAGAGCCGGTCCCATCCTCTGGGAACAGGAAAACACTCAGAGCTCTTGAGAGAACTCAGCTTCTCTGACACTTCTGGTGGCTGCAGGTGATTGGGCCTCTGTCCCTTGAACTGCAGAGACTGCAGGGCAGGCCAGGACCGGCTCTCAGTCCCCAGTTCTGATTCTCCCTCAGTCCCCAGTTCTGATCCTCCCATTCTCAGCACGCTCCTTCAATTGTCTGACTCAATTGTCCAGAACCTTCTGGGTCTAGCGACCTGGTGACTCTGCCCTGCAGGAACTGTTCCCCACTTCGCTTCACCCCCACAAGAACCCAGCCATGCCTGCCCCTCCCCCTTCACGGTCACACTCAGCGCTTGTGTCCTGAGGGGGAAGACAGCTCAAGGCCTACTGAGGCCTCGGTGCAGGAAGCTGAGGTAGCAGCTGTGGCTTCTACCTTGATGGACATTGCAACTTAGGCAGGCCATGGGGTCCCTAAGAAGTTCCAAAGTAAACAATCGAGTTTTGTTTTTTTCCAGCTTAAACTAAACCATCAGAGCTGGGTCACAACAGCTGGGGAGCAGATGGAGCATCTTTTTCCTCCACGATTGACTCCAGCCCTCTGAGTGACACTCCCATTTCCTAACGCCTTCTTAGGAACGGGGACTTGCCTCTCTAGCACACACATCTGCAAGCCCAGGCACCTTCACACTCCTGGTAAGGAAATGGAGGTGTTTCCTCTCTGCCCCTCCTATGGCCCCACAATGGACATGGCCCAGTCAACCTCCACCACACAGGAAGAGGTTGGCGCCCCCTGAGACAGCCTGCAGCAACGAGCCCCGATACCATGTGGGACATCTTCCCAGTGCCTGATGGAGACCCCAGCCCAGGGGGGTCACATTCCAGTGGGCAGTCAAAGACACTCTCCATCATGATAAAGGACAGCCATGCTGTATAATGTGACTTGGTCATTCTGACCCTCAAGCAGAGACTGTTGTCAGTTGGTTTGGGTTAAAATCCATTCCAGAAAATTCAAAAATAGATGCATGAGTCACCGGTGATGTTTGGAGGCAGAAAGCAGTTTGCTGAGAAGAGACCCAGATGGCTGGTGACAGCGACCTGGCGAGTTTTGTCCGGCTGTGTCCTTAACAGCAATCTGTGCTTCTCGTTTGCGTTGGCTGCAAAAGGCAGGTTTTGCTGCAGTTAAACCATTTCTCCGAAGGCTACTAAGATGGATGTCACAGAGTCCCAAGGGCAAGAAGGGCTCCAGGGAACCTGCTGTCAGGCTGTCTGACCCTGGCCACTCAGGTTGACATATGAGACCTGCTGTGTGCCAGCCCTGGGTCTGCATTTTAGCTTCATCCCTGTGCCATGTCAGAACTGCCGCTTCACACAGACGACAGGTAAAGAAGCCTTGGGAAGTGATGCTGAGTGACGTCCAGGTGACCTAGCGAGAAGTGGTACTGAGAGACCAACACTCATCTATGGGACATTGAATACCTCACCCTGTCACCTAATGTGGATATGATGCAGGGCTTTGGCGAATGCTGAGGTTCCAGAAGAGTTCATGGATGACATCTTCTCCAAAGTGGCCTTGCAGAGTGAGTGGGTCAGAGTCTCAGAGACTGGGTCACTGATGGCAAGGAGAGGAGGAGGGACGTGTCCCAGAGACACAGATCCATTGAGGTCATTGATCACAGGATGCCAAGTCAGCTCTGGCTGCTTCGATGCAGAGGAGACTGGCAATGTGGTCCCCACAGAGATAGATGGCTTGGCTTGCTTCTATGGAGCCATGAAGTCTCGCTCTCTCACAAGTGTGTGACAAGCAAGAAAGCCAGAGGCCCCAAGCAGAGCAGAGTTGGACTGCAGGGGCTGGGACACAAAAACCACAATCTCCCAGGAGCCCCTCCAGTCACCTGAGGGTCAGCTGAGGCTTCTCCACACTGTACCGGTCCCCTCCCTTTACGCTGGTGCTTCAAGGCACCAACACACACTTTCCTAGGAAGAGCTGGTAGGCTTGGGGGAACTTGAACGTGGAACCCGTATCCCTCTATAGAGTCAACACTTGGGAAGCCAGGGGACAGAATGGTAGAACAGGCAAGCCAGTTCAGGAAGCTGCAGCCAAGAAGGCATGCAGAAGACGCAGGGCCGGAAGTGGGATCAGAGAGGCACAGGTGACATGACCTAGTGAGAGGGGCAGATAGGATGCTGGAGATGGAAGTGGGGGCTACCTTGTTCCATTTGAGGTGAGAGCTGTATTTTGTATTAATGAAAGCTTACTGAAAAGTGACATCTGGCTGGGCATGGCGATACATGCCTTTACTCTTAGCACTTGGGAGGCAGAAGCAGGCCTGAGTTCAAGGCCACTCTGATCAATAGAGTGAGTTCCAGGACAGCCGGGGCTACAGAAAGAAATTCTGTCTAAAAAAAAAAAAAAAAAAGTGACATTAGAAAAAATTTTCCTACCTACACTTGGCAGTTTATCACTGAGTCAACAAACTGGGTCGGACTAATTAACCAGGCTAGATACTGAATTTCTTCCACCCCAAAACAAAAGCTCACCTCAGCTGTACTCACTTAGCAGGGCGCGTCAAGTTCATCACTTGCCCTGCGTTCACTGCACCAGTGAACCTGTCTTCAGAAAGTCTTTCTGTAGCCCTTGTCACCTGAGGGCCCTATGATCCCTCTGAAAGGTCACAATGACAGATAGGGGCACTTTTGCTTTCTATATTGGAGGGTACATTTATTTCTCTTACAGTAAGGGAGATTGGACGTGTGCACGTTGCTAACGGTTTGTTTGTTCTGAGTTAACTCCGAGGGTCACCATGGGAGGAAAGCAAGGCTCACCAGCTGTGGGAGTATGTAAATCCAGCTGCAGAGAGACAAGAATGGGGACCAAGTGGAGGAGACACAAAGCCAGAAGCACCAGCACATGAACCGTGGAGCCATTGCCAACCACCTGACCAGGGGTAAAACTAAACATTGTAACAATTGACAGCCATTGTTTATCCTTGAAAAGTCTACTGGCTGGAGTTGGGGTGGAGGGCAGATTTTAAGGTGTTAGTGCATTGACTTCTTGGATCTCTGGCTCTCTGATAAAACTTGACTTCCAGATCCATTCCTGCCTCTGCCCACTGGCATTTGCGGCGAGGAGTGGCATGAATTCTAATGTTCTGGTTACATCTCCAGGACAGCCATGTCTGCTGGGGCAGGTGTACCTGGGCCAGCACCTCTAGCTGCGCAGGGCATGGTGGAGACTCCGCTGGGCTGCCTCCCACCGGTGTGAATCTTTATTGCATGCGGTCGCGGAGCCATCACCTCTAGGCGTGATACAACTACTGATCCAACAGAGCAGAGTTGCTGGCCTGCAGGAGACCACTGCCCACGGGAAACTCGAATATGGTAGGAACTAGATATGAGGTCACTGCAAAGGGGCAAACTGAGGTTCTAGTTGCCACTCCCTCCTGGTGCTCTTGGTCTTGGAGGGGGTCACTAGGATATAGGAGGGCGAGGTTGACTTGGGGACTCTTCAGTGGTGGACCTGCAAGATAAGTCAACCATGCTGAGGAGGGAACCTCCTGGTTGTAGGGACCACTTTGGTAAGTAATTGGATGATCCTCTCTTTGGTCTATTAGTGACTTATCGAGGGTGAGCAGATATTTCTCGACATCTTCCTAGAAAACACAATTTGGCATTCAATTCCTGCCACCCTGCTGAGCTTCCTGAACAATGCAGAAAATGAAACAGACCCAACTCATTTTTAAAATGGCTTTATTAAAGGCTAGTAGTATAAAATAGGACAAAGTTACAAGTCGTCAGTAAGAATTTGCCATTTTGAAAATATGTATCAAAGGAGAGGGTGGTGTAAAGAATAGAAGGCCACTCCTGGCCCTGGCATGAGGGACGCACCTGGCCAGGAGGCAGGCTCTGCTGCTCCTAACCAGAGCATGTCCAAGCCAGGAGGGCCGGGGACTCAGGGACAACCCAGACAGGCAGAGTCTAGGTTCCTGAGAGCTTCTGTCAAATATGGCCACCAAGAGCAAGACACAGAGCCCTGGAGCCGCCTCCCAGGCACTGAGCCTGGGTGTGTGGTGGAGACCAAAATCATACACAGGCCTGAGAGGAAGAATTGCTTTAAAGGGAAGTGACGGTTGTATTTCATCATGATGACAGAGGAGGAGAAGGTGGAAAATACCTGGTTAATCTCCTGGCCACTGTCACATAGTCCCTGGGGGAGACCAAGAAGCCAGCTTGGTCTGCCCTGGCACAAGGACAATGCCCAGGTCAGGTGGGTCTTTTAGGATCCCTCCTGGACACCCTATCTGGGACTTCCCACCCGTTCTTTCTGTTTGTTTGCTTTTTTGTTTTTGGTTTTTCAAGATAGGGTTTCTCTGTGTAGCTTTGGAGCCTGTCCTGACACTCACTCTGTAGACCAGGCTGGCTTCGAACTCACGAGATCTGCCTGCTTCTGCCTCCCAAGTTGCTGGGATTAAAGGTGTGTGCCACCACCGCCCAGCTTCCCAACTGCTCTCGGGAGGCCTCCTTGAGAAACACCATTGTACCTACACGCAGCCTTCTCCATGTTTTCACTAGAGAAACTAGAAGGGAATCAGGGAAGAAGGGAAAATGTCTGCACAGAGAGAGCAGACGTTTTGCGCTGGTCAAGGGACCAGGATGAGCCTTTGCCTTCCTGCTGTGCCCATGCTATGGACCATAGACCTACACGGAAGGAAAACATGTGCACAGACTTGAAATCAACCCACTGCGCTGGGGTGGGAGGTAGGCACACGGTAGCCATGCTGGACCCCCCTCCTCAAGAGTCAGGGCCAGCGTGGGCTGCACCAGTGGTGGCTTGCGAGTTATTTTCACCCTTGTTGTACCAGAGCCTTTCTTCTCCTCGGCCTCCAACTGCTCTGGGACAGTCCGGAAAGATGACTGGTCAGAAGCCACCGGAGGAAGGCAAACCCACACCCTAGGGACCAAGAGAGGCTTAGGACATAAGCTAATTGGCAGGTACATCAATATTGGCTAAGTACAGCTTTGGCATGTTTTCCCAGGGGAAGAGACAAGGGTGGGACAGTTGCTGTGTGCACTCTGCCTTGGCAAGCAGGGTCTAGCAGATATTCCAGAAGTTAGTTCAGGAAGTCCTGTGACGTGGGCATTAAGGTCACACCTGTCGGTACTGAAACCAGGCGCTCGGAGGAGGGGGCTCATTGAGATTAAGGCTTCAGGTGAAGAGAACGGAGTGACGGCAAAGGGTAGACTGTGCCACCCAGAGCTCACTCTGGTGAGCTCCTGCAGATGCGTGTGGTCCAGGGGCTGTGGCAGGGCAGCGGGGAGAACAGGGAGCAGATTTGGGTGAGGCTCATGTTCCTCACCCAGCCTTGCTGCTGTGAGCTCTCAGGGCTGCAAGGGGAAGTTTCTGAAACCATCAGGAAGGCTTCTTTCACTTGAAGGTGGTCAGGTCTCGGGGAGAGGCCTTCACGATACAGCTGACCAAACCGGGGTAAAGAACAGTCAAGCCTTCCAGTCTCTTGCTGGAAGGTTCTAACACAGTGAGTCAGAAGCGCCCTGCTCTCCAGCACCGCTGCCACCGCCCTGACTGCTGGAGAGGACAGGACTGGGGCACTGGCCGGACACTTACAACATCTTCCAGAAGAAAATCCACAGAACCAAGGAAGCTGCTGCAGCCACATACAAAACAGCGAGACGCTGACAGAAAACCTGCCAGCCGGAAGGGGCGTTCAAACAACCAGAGCGCTGAGTAAGTCACCAGGACAACTTAGCGGACACCTGCCACCCCCTGCCAGCAGTCTGTTTCCTAGATGCGGGGGTGGGGAAGGGCACAGAATGCCAAATGTGGCTTCAGCAACGGGAGGGGTCCAGGTGAGCCCATTTCTAAGGATGAATCTTCCACAGCGACAGTCAACAGCCCAGCTCCATCCAGGGAGCCCCCAGTGGAAAGGAATGGGAGGGTGCAAAGAGAAGGCCGCCTGCGCGGCCCTCGGTGGCTTGGTCCAAGAACCTCCTTGGTGGAAGAAGTGGGGTGGAGCTGGGGACAGACGTTTTATTTACAAGGTTTACTGGATTCTTGTCTTTAAAAATCCCAAGTGTAAAATTTGTTATCAAATCCTTGAAAATAGCATATTTATCTATTTGGTTTTACCAAAAAAAGGAAGGAAGGAAGGAAGGAAGGAAGGGAGGAAGGAAGGAAGGAAGGAAGGAAGGAAGGAAGGAAGGAAGAAAACCTGGCAACATTTCCTAGTTTCTGAAAGACTAAGAAAAGGGCAGAGGAAACAGGAAAATACACAGGCAGAGCTGCCTTCTCCTCCGAACACCACGTGGGCCACACGGGGGCTCCTGGCTGTTTCCGGATAGCACCGTTTACCAGTTGTCCAGAAAATCAAAGCCCGTCTTTAAGAGGGTGTTACTTGATCCGATCTGCAGAGGGACAAAGGTGACAGAATAAGACGTGGGCCTCCATCCCGGCCACAGACAACCTATATACAGCACTCCATTTAAAATGACCCAGATGAAAGCAGCTGCTGCCTCAGGGGCCCCTGACCTCTATTTACCTCAGTGCCAGGGACCAGAAAGCTGCATAAAACCCAGTGCAAGTGACACTCTTGCAACACCAGCATGCACAGAGCAGAGGAAGCAACCTAGTTCTCTACCGGCACCCTCCTGCTTCCGACAGCATTATAAAGTGAACAGACACCTCAGACACCCACGCCATCCCCATTCGTGTGTGTGTGTGTGTGTGTGTGTGTGTGTGCGTGTGTGCGCGCGCACGGTCTACCCTTGGCCTGGAATTTGCCAAGTAGGCTAGGCTGTCTGGACAACAAGCCCAAGGATACACCTGTCTCCAACTCCAATCTAAGTGTTGGGATTATAAACCCAGATATTTTTTAACATGGGCTCTGGAAATTGAACTCAGTGGAGGAGAAGACCATGGGGGCATTGGTGGCTGTCCCGTCCTGTGAGCCCTCCTTGGATATCTGTGAAAGAATGTGCCCCCCACTTCTGATGTGGACTTGGCACCACCACCCACCTGCGCAAACACAGGCTCTGAGAACAGAGCATCGTCTTCGTCATCCTGCTGGGCAGTGGGAGGTGGCGGCTTCTCTGGGGACTCAATGGGGGTAGCCTTGGGCTCCAAGCTGGCAGGGGCTTGCACAGGCTGGGGCACCTCTTGCGCTGTGCTTACAGTGGAGAGAGTTTGCTGTTCTTGGGGTAGAGCCTTGACCTCCCTGTCTTTTGTGATGGGTTCTTGGCGGTAGCAAGCAGGCATGACTTTTTCTCCCTTCTCCATGGACTTGATCTGGCTGGGTGTCAGAGACTGGAACTCGGCCTCAGGCCCCTCCCTAGAGCGCTCAGCATTGATCTTCCAGAAGGATGCTTCCTCCTCTTTCCTCGAAGGTCCTAGGGCATCCAGGCTAGAGGATCTGCTGTTCTGGGCAGGCTTGGCAGCCTGTGTGCCCTGAGGAGCCTTGGCCAGGGGCCTGGGATCACTGGTCATGGTAGCTGTGCTGGGCTCCTGGATGGATAAGGAGGAGATGCTGAACTCCATCTGACTCTGCGGGGAGACAGAAAGGAAGAGACACCTGAGAGCAAGCCTCAGAAACCCCTGGGACAGAGAGCCGGCTCACATACTCCCTCAGATGTATGCAGACACTGTACTGACATAAGTTGAGAAATGCCTGGTGGTCCCAAGTGACGATTTTCATGGCAGTCCTTACTGCCTACCTGAAACACATCAGGAGCCACGAGGCCACGCCCTGTCACACTGTACCCTAGCAGTTCTAAGACCAGAATCACAGCAACGATCAAGGATCCCTGATCCTGAGCATGGCTCTGACTTCCGGAGGGATTGCTACAGGCAGGTGAGGAAGGCTGTGTGGGTCCTCAGGGCATGAGTCCTCAGTGGGAGGGAAACTTCACAAGCCCAGTCCATAGCCTGTGTCACCACGCGCAGACTGACCACTTTCCTGACCCACACCTGTCAACCACGGTGGCCTCTAAAATCCTGCCACTGAGCAGGCCCGACAGTAATCACTGCCAGGAACTCCGAGCCTTCCGTCAAAGGGGAGCCAACTGCAGGCCAGGTCATCCCCACTCTGCAGAACTCAGCACTCTCGATCTCAAAATCGACCCTGAAAATTTCAATTCCCCATCACTTCTACCATTTTCTTACAAAGATAAAACAGCAAATGATATTACAGAAAGCTGGGAAAGTAGATAAAACGCAGAAAATCAGGCATAACCCCTCCCCCCATAACTATTTTTTGTGCCACATTCTCATACATGTTAGCTGTGATCTTGTCAGGTCTGCAGTATGGGATGTCACTTCTTCAATGCATTGTGAATATCTTTCAGCTCTTTCTTGTTTGTCACAATCTCTCTCTCTCTCTCTCTCTCTCTCTCTCTCTCTGTGTGTGTGTGTGTATGTGTGTGTGTGTGCGCGCGCGCACATCTGTGTAGTGTGTACACATATATGCATGGTGCATGCACATGTGTAGCAGTCAGATGGCCCTCAGGGGCCAGTGTTGTATAGTAAACTCCAATGAGATAAATTCCATCTTGAAGGAATCTCCTCGAGACTCAGAAAGTAAACAACTCAATGGTTTTAGGAAGCATGGATCTGATCAAATTCATGAGGCTCCTGCCTCCCAAACATACACAAGCAGTGAAGACTGCTGAGAGCCGCTATCAGAACAGCAGAGGTGGCTCAGGTCAACTGAGCTCCCTGGAAGAAATGTTCTCCAATCTTGAGCTGCCCGCGGGCTACACAGTACACATCCGTTTCCAGCTTTGGAGAGCTTCCTCCTACGTTGGGATGCGCTTTTGGGGATGCAGCTGTCTTTAAGTTATTACTGCACCTGTAAGTGACGCCCCTCCCATACTCTTGTAAGTCACACTCAATAAAACATACTTGTTCACCAAGTTGGACTTTGGTGGTATCCCTACTTTGTCTGCTTTGGTTTCCTGTCTGGGGTGAGCAGACATTTGTTCATGTCTCCCCAAGAATAACGCTATACAATGGCATCCACTTTGTTCTTTGAAACAGAGTCACTCTCACCGGTCAGAAACTCAGAGGCTAAGCTGGCTGGCCGGCAAGCCCCAGAATCAGTCTGTTTTATGTCTTCAGGTCTTCAGGTCTGGGAAAACAAATGCCTGTCACCATGTCAGAGTTTCCCACCTGCGTTCTAGGGGATCCCACTCAGGGTCTCATGCTCGCAGGGAGAGCAACTTACTGATAGCCATCCCCCCAGCCCACGGCCACTGTGGCTGTGAACACTTCTCGCAGTCGACCAACAGTTCACCCCTGCTGACCCTTGCTCCTGCAACCCAGGCCGCTGAGATTCCTTGTGCACATTAGCTGCCCTGCTCAGGGTTAGTTTCGTCAGACTTGCAGAAACAAAATGTTCAAAGGCAAAGGCTTAAAACTCTCCATGCATGGTTTCGGATGCACACTGTCACGCTGCTCTGCAGAGCCACCCTGTGTCTTATGCCCCAGCTGTAGTCGTTTCTGGTCAACAGAGTTGATTGTTCCAACCTGCGCTGACTCGGAAACACTGGGCACACACGGCAGCACCTGGTAAATGGGCCAGTCTGTTTCCTTTCTTTCTTTCTTTTTTTTAAAGGGAAGCGAAAACGTAATAAATTAACAGACAGTGTCACTGTGTAGAAGCACAGGGGAGAGGGAGTAGGGAATGGCCAGGTTTCCTGTTCCCTAGACAGTTAGAGTTCGAAAGGCAGGGCCCTGGCAGTCGAAGCAACTTGTCTAAGCCTCTTAGTGAAGCAGAAAGGGCAGGGACTGGAGACTAGGACCTTGAAACTTCCAAGATGGCTAGGAGATGGTTGGCTCCAACAGGGGGACAGAAGGCTGGGGAACCCTAGCACGGGTCTTCCGCAGTGAACCTGCCCTTGGCACTGCAGAGGTGGTCTCCTGGAATGCTCCATGGACTTACATACAGTTCTGCAAACCATCAAACTCTCGGGTTCCTGTCCATAAGCAGGGAACTGAGGACGGAACGGAACACAGTCCTTCTTCCGTATGAGCTTCGGGCTCAGGACAGTCTACCACGCATTCCCTGGACGGGAAGCCAGCAGCTAGCTGCCCTTGGCCTAGAGATGAAGAACACAAGTCTAAACCAAGAGCCTAGGCAGCCTGAAAATGCAGCTTTCCTAAGAAACAGCCATCCCCACTTCGGCTCTGCAAGGAACCATGGATCCGATGTGGTAGGTGTATAGGAGGCCAGGCTGCCATACTGGAGTTTGTGTGTGACCTCTGGAGAACTCAGCAGGTCAAGGGGAGGAGCATAAGTTCCAGCCTGGGCTTTTATATACTGCCACCAGCAACCCCTCAAGGAAGAATAAAGAGAAGGGAAGAAGATGGAGGTACGGAGAGGTGAGTTTCCCTGGGGCACTCGCATACTAAGAGACCCTGCAGTTGAAAACCCAGGGTTTCAGCTCCAAGGCCTGGCTGCAGGGCTGACGTACAATGCCATGGAAAAAGCAGGCTCCTTTTTTTTTTTTTTTTTTGAGACAGGGTCTCACATTGTCCGAGGCAGCTTCAATCTATGTTACTGAGGCTGCCCTTGAATTCCTGATCCCCCTGCCTCTACCTCCTGAGTGATGAGATTACAGGCATGTGGCACCTCATCGTCCTCGGGATCATTTCTAGGTCCAGCATTCTGAACACTGCCTATTTCCAAATTCCCTAGTAGGACACAAAGACACTTGGTACAAACAGACATGATCGCTCCTTAAGTAAGCAAACTGCTAAAAATAGCTTGGGAATGCCGAGTCTTGGAGAAGGGTTGGCTGTGTCTGGAAACTGTAGAGTAAGGCTCACAGAATCAGTTTGTTTTTGGTTTTGTTTGTTTTTTTTTTGGCGGTGGTGGGGGTTTTCCCGCTCTGGTGGGGTCTTTGCTTAGAAGACTGTGAATTGCAAAGCCAGGCATCCTGACATGTGGGTGGTCAGATACTGAGGAGGGAAGCGGAGTTCGGGATCCAAGGCTGTGTGACTGCTGGAGCCACTCCCATGGGGATGGCCACTCCCATCCACTCAGGGGTAACCAGAGCTCTGCAGCTTCCCAGTGGGAGGTGACATCAACTGAGCCGGAGCATGCTGCCAGGAGCAGCTACCGACCTGCTCTGGGGACTTGGAAGACAAACACAAGAAAACACGGTGGCACACCCCTTTTATTCCAGCACTAGGGAGGCAGAAGTTGATGGATCTCCAGGAATTTGAAGCCAGCCTGGTTTAAACACTTGCAAGTAACAAGGCATGGACTAAATGCATGCAGTGACTGACTGTGCCACACAACAGCTTCCTGGGGTGGGGGTGGGGGTGTTGCAAAGGTAGAGGGCAGATGGGAAAGGGCAGAGAGATGAGTGGGATTGAGATGCATCATGTGAAATCCACGAAGAATCAATAAAAAGTTACATTTGAAAAAAGAAAAGAAATTACCAGGTCAACAAGCCACAGCAACTCCTAGTACCAAAAAACCAACAAGAGAAGAGAGTGAAGGGAGCAGAAGAGGAGGAGGAGGGAAGGGAGAGGAGGCAGCAGCTCCCAACCTATCTGCCCCCTTACCCAATGTTTTCCTGATCCTTAACTTTGCACTTAAAGTGTGACAGTTTCCTCTCACAAGTCACCTCCTCCTCCTTGTTGGTGAAGAACCTCTCACTGCCCTATAAGAGAAGGTTGTGAACCAAGACATCCAAACACTATCTGGTAGCTGGGAGGGGAGGTGAACTTCTTCCCTGTCCCCATCTATGTTGGCTCAGCTGAAGAACCAAAGAACGGGCTCAAGGAGGCCATGTAAGACTGCAGTACCACTGTCCCTCAGGGGTCAGTGACCCCGAGGTCCCATTCTTCATGTTTCCCTCCTGGTGTGCTGGGAATTAGCCCTTACAGCCGTCTCTCAAGACTACAGCTAACTCCAGGCTCACAGGTGGTGAAGAGGGCAGAGCTCTGGCAGCCCCAGGACAACAGAACCCACAGGGAGCATCACAGCTTCAGCCCTGGAGCCGGAGGGGTTGCTCCGAGGAACACCCACAGTGCAGCTCTCCTATGCCAGGATCAGTCCATCACAGGTCCCACCTAGAAAAAACTGGTACCAAATCCCCAGGGCCCAGAGCAAGGTAAGAGAGAGCCCAGGACCTGCTGGGAAGCCGCCAATGACACTACAACCATCCACCTGTCCCTCAATCTCAGAAACAGAAGTCAGCTGACTTCACACCTCACAGACTTGGGAAGATCAGTCCCTAAGTTTTAATTGACTGGGCATGTACTGTGTGCCTGGCACGGAAGCCTTTCCCAGAAGTGACATGAAGGAGCAGAATCACCATCCCCTTTTCATTACAGAAGAGCCGGTCCGGCAGCTCACCCAACTTTTCCAGAGACTGCACTGGCTTCAGAGGCCAGACCAGACCTCTACCTGGGGCCCAAACATGCCAGGGTGGAAAACAGAAAGACTGTGGATGCCAGTAACAAAACTTCCCAAACAGCCTGTCACTTTCAGGAGGTCACAGCAGCCTTCTCTCAATGCCCAGGCTGCTGAGCCAGCACTGCAGAAGGAAGCTGCATCAAAGGTAACGGGAAGGGGCAGCAGCCACTAGATCACGACTATGGCATGGTAGATCACGGCTATGGCTGGTAGATCACTGCTATGGCATGGGCTGCAGGTAGAAAGGGCCAGGGCTCAGCTGAGCGTCTTCTGTGATCCTGGAGGCATGGACACAAAAGAGGAAGGCAAGGGTCTCCTCAGCTCACAGCAGCACCCCTTGCCCTCTGTGCCCTGGGCTCCTGACTTCTCTACAACCCAGTCCGTCAGCAGAGCGGGGCATCGGTCAGCCCATGTGGGGAACAGGGCTCAGCTGGCCACATCCATTCTAAAAACAGCAAGACCACAACAGAGCCCAGTGTCTGTTTTTATGCCTTGCTCACTGGAGAGGAATGTGTGATATTCAGCAAAGGGGGGTACATGCCGCAGAAAAGGACTGTTTGGCTTGGCAGCGGCTGGCAAAGCTAAACTACTGAGGCAAAGGCCACGCACACACGGTCAGAAAGAATGGGAAGAATATCTCCATTAGGCCGCCAAATGCTTAACACGGGTTCTTCCTCCTGCCCTCTTGCCCTCCAAGAGACAAAGGGGAGGAACCTAAACAACTCTAAGAATCACAGAATTAGCAAAGGGGCCATCTTACAGGGATGAGCCAGCACGGACGGGCAGCTTGGAACACCCACCTCACATCCCGAGGAATGGGTCCAGACCTGGGGCTAAATCACACACGCCCCTTGTTCAGGAGCCCTGAAGTGGGCATCTATTCATCCTTCAGTCAAGCTCCAGGGCAGCAAAAACCCAGTGTCACCGTGAGACCCAGAAAGTGGCAGGCAGGGGGTAGCCAAGGCTCAGGGGTAAGGGACACATGAGTCTTAGCCCTCAGGTCTTGTCCTCTGACAGGGACACAGACACCCATGCCTCCCTAAGACCATAATATGGAAGACAGACAGTAAAGGGGAGGGGGCACAACTTAGGCAGAGGACTTCCCTGTTCATCTCCTGCCTGGACGATCAGAGGTGTAGGCACGTGCTCAGCATAGTTCTCACGGGATTTACACAGCAGCTGGAGGGTGGGGGCGGGGGCGGGGTCTTCAAGAGAAGGTGGGTGGAATCCAGCCCAGACGCTGTGGTAAGGGAGGACAGTTAGCGGGTGCAGTGAGGGGCTGGGGGCTTCTCGGAGACCTGTAGGAGCCTGGTCTCGGGGACAGCATTGCGGGCACCGCACTGGTCTCGGGGGCAGCAATGCGGGCACCGCACTAAAGGAACTGCACACTATTCCACACCCAGGGAAAACATCGACGGATCTAGGGCAGAAAACCACAAAGCTGAACTCGAGCTTTCAGACGGGGAGTTAGGACAGCCCAGAGGGATAGAGAGAGGGGAGAAAGGGAGGAGAGAAGGCAGCCATTAAGCAGGGAAAGAGGCCTTCCTAAGATGCATTGGCCCAGGCGCCGCAGGAGCTACGCTGCGATGGGATTGGGTTCAGCCTATAGGGCCACGCCCCTCAGAAATCAACTAACATTAAGGAGGTGCATGCAAGACCATGGCTTAGAAGAGGCCCCCCCCATCTTCCATGGGCAGTGACATCTCTGAACCACAGCCAGCAGGCACTCTGCTCTCTAGCCAGATGGTGATGTGACCTGCTCACCTACGGCAGGAACGGGAGGAGGAATTCAGATGTGTGCATGAGTTGTGGGAAGGACCTGGTTGGAGGATGGAGGGGTGCTAGCGTGTATACGGGGAGCGTGTGCTCACAGGGGTGCCTCCTTTGGAGCTTAAATAGGCAGCTGCACATTAGCAGAGACAGGCAGACAGAAGCCAGACAGCTCGGGGGGAGAGGGAGCTTGGGGACGGGTCCCAAGGGCCTAGCCTCCCCATACACTCTCCAACTTGTCTGCAGCCCACACAGCCTGGGAATGCAAGGAATCTTCTCCATGCCTTCCTCCCTCCTAGTCTGGGGCCTTCTGGGTGCTGGGTTTTTCTTCTGGAAACATGGGAGCCTGAGAGAGGAATGCAGCAGTCCCATGAGCATCCCTCCACCTCCCCTCCCCCCACCAGCTTGCCTGCCAAACTGATAGATGAGTGGAAGAGATTGCCGTGGTGACCATATCCCTACGGGGATGTAGGGGGTAGGATAGTGGAGGGCGCTGGGAGTCACTGTCGGAAGTGGAGGGATGTGTCTTGCATGGTGGAAAATTTGGATGTGTTCATTAGCTTGATCCAATTATCCCTACAACACATTTGAATACCAAAACAACTTGTACTCCATGGACACACACAAGTGTATAAGAGAATGACGGTATAGGAGGTGGACACTGAGGCACAGCCATGTGAGGGCACTAACTGCCACGGAGCTGCATGCTCAAACGTTGCTCATGGGGTCTGAAGAGATGACTCAGCAGTTAAGAGTGTGGACGGTTCTTTCAGAAATTCTGTCCCCAGCACCCACGTCTGACAGCTCACAACCACGCGTAACTCCAGCTCCTCGAGGTCCAACACCTTCTGGCCACTCTGGGCAGCTGCACACATGTGGCATACATACATATACACATACATTTTTTTAAAGAAAGTTTTCTTGGGGGCTGGAGAAATGGCCCAGTGGTTAAGAGCATTGGCAGCTCTTCCAGAGGTCCTGAGTTCAATTCCCAGCAACCACATGGTGGCTCCCAGTCATCTATAAGAGGATCTTCTGGCATATAGGTGTACAAACAGATAGAGCACATATATATCAAATAAATAAACCTTGCAGAAAATGCTTTCTTAAGTGGTTAACTGGGGCTGGTGAGCACAGAGACCTAAGGTTGATCCCTAGAGTCCATGTTTAAAAAAAGAAAAGTATGAAGCTGGAGGGATGGCTCCAAGGTTAAATACAAGGGCACACTACTCTTCCAGAGGACCCGAGTTTGGTTCCCAGCAGCCACCTGGGCAAGCATAACTGCCTGGAACTCCAGGTCCAGAGGATCTGAAATGCTTTCCCGGCCTCCGCGGGCACCTGCGCTCACACCACGTATGCACGTACACTGAAACACACACACTAAAGTAAGCTTGGGAAGAAATGAAGGTGGGAGGACCGATGTACACTTGCTCCCCAGTGCAGGGGGAGGAGAGACGGGGGAGCCCGAGGCTCTCTGGCTGCCCTGAACCTGCAGATTCCAGGTCACCAAGAGACCTTGTCTCAAGAAACAAGGTGAGTGGTACCTGAGGAATCACACTTGAGCTTGACCTCTGGCTTCCACATGCATGAGCACACACATGCACATACACTAGAGAGTACGCACACATGTGCTCCGTATGTGTGACTTCTCAGGTTCAATGCCCAGCACCCCTCCTCAAAAGCTAAGCTACTAAAATTTACATTATATGAATTTTGTCATAATTAATAAAAACTATAGGCTGGAGAAGAGGCCTCTCAAGATCCCTTGGAACTACACCAGTGTTTCCCAGCCTTGAGCCTCCCTCTCCACAGGTCCCCTGGGTGCCAGGGTTAGCTGGGGCAAGGCCTATGATCAGAAGCAAAAAGAACAAAAGAAACAAGGCTTTTAAAATATCTGCGCCCCAAAAGTCTACTCCACACACAGCTGTCTCCTCTGCAGCCCCATCCACGTCAGAGACAACGGCACCTGGAAAGTTAGAGTTTGAAAATCGTGGCCTCTCACCTCTCCTTGGCCGTATGACACTTGCTTCTCTGTGGTCTTGCTGCTTGCTGAGGTCCTCCTCCTGGAATCCATGGGCCTCGGGGATATCATGGGACATAGCGGGACTGACAGGCCCACACACAGGTTCAGGTCCCCAAGCCCCCCGCCCTAACACACACACTTTGTCCTACTGACACAGGCTGTCAACTGCAGCCCAGCATTAAGGACCACACACAGCCCTTCGCACCCATCAAATGTTGAAAGAAAATGTACAGGTACTCACATTTTCAAAGGGGACAAAATACATCTAAATTTTATTCAACTTACCCTTGTTTCCCAGGAAAATGGGGCCGAGTGCTCATCTTGCCAAGTTATGTCCTGAAATAAAAATTCAAGAATAAGTCTGAGGCCCAAACTCCGCCAACCCTGTGCAGACATCCACCCAGAGCCACGAGGGAGACACACACACACACACACACACACACACACACACACACACAGACAACTCAAGGACAAATGAAGGTCTCAGTACTTGACAAGGCCAGCGCTGGGAACTCCTGCAGCCCAGGCTGCTGATCCTCTCCTGCCAAACAGGCATCGCAGTGAGTACCAGTAAGGCCTTAACCCAAGACAGGAGCTTCAAGAAATGGGATGATGCTACTATCCTCAGAAGACAGGGTGGAGTCTCAATCCGACCAGGGCAAACTGTGATCTGGTGTGAGGACACAGCCCTCTGAGCCTGCTTCCTTGCTTCTATGAGGGGCTCACACACCTTGCAGGCTTGCTGTGAGGGTGTAGCCTGGCACCTTGTGCAAAGAACACAGCCAGCAACACACTTGTGCCCCCCTCCCGGCCATGAGAAAGGCACTGGTAGCAGAGTCAGGGGACAAGGCGTCAAGGCAATGCAAGTGTCTGATCGTAACCGCTGATGCTGCTCCTGACTCTGCTCACGCAGTGCGGCAGAAGACCTCTTCCGAGCACTCGCTGAACTCCGAGCCTGAGCTTGCAGGTCCTGTTTGTTAACTTGAAGAAAGGGCTTAGGCCTCCTCTTCACCCCGACAGGGTACCTGTCTGTGCCTGACTGCTCTAAAACACGGGACAAAATTTTGCCTTTTTAAAGACAGTCTCATGGATCACAGTCTGGCTTCAAATTTACTACGTGTCCAGGGATGACCTTGAACTCCTGATCTTCCTTTTTCTACTGTCCAAGTGCTGAGGTTATAGGCACTTACCACCATACCTGGTTTACGTAGCACAGGGGACTGAACTCAAGGCTTTATGTACGCTAGCAAGCACTTTACCAACAAAGCTCTGCCTGAAAGTCCTGATAAAATACGTGAACTGAGAGTGACATTAATTCTATGCTCATCTCCCACTGTCTTCAAACAAGTCCTACATGATTTGTGTCACGCCATCGAGTACCCAATAAAGTATGCTCCTTGTCACCTAGAGGCACGTGACCTGGCTCCAACCTCCACAATGAGAGGGGCTGAGCTTCAGATGCTGACAGAGTCCTGCCCCAGACCAGCCTCACAGATGGCAGGAACTCCCGAAGAATGCTTGCAAGCACAACAGCCATCCGGGCTGCAAGCCAGCTTTCCCTAGGCACACCCCTGCTGAGCTGGGAAGCAGCTGAGGCCCAGTTAAGAACTATAACAAAGGTATGGTGGCGATGGCGTGGCGGGTGGCGGTGGCAGTGGTGGCTCTGGGCAGTTGACAGCCTGCTCCTAAGAATGAGGGAGATGCAGAAACTTCACAAGGCACAAGGACACAATAAGCCCTTTCCCTGCCCTGTCCCCAGAGCTGGAGAAACCCAGGTTCCAAAGTTATGAGATCAAGACCCCCGTGCAAGCTAGGTCCTCACACACTGCAACCCACACACCTCACACATTCCTATTCACAAAGCACCCCAATGTGGGGAGCGAGGCCCTGGCTCTTCTGGGATGGAGGCCCAAAGAGTAAAGCTGCCATTTCGGATAGAAAGTCCCGTGCACGGGGGGGGGGGGGGGGGGG